AAGTTGAATCCAAAATTGTGCAGCACTGAATTAAATTGTAGTATTACGTCTCATAAAGAATAAAAATACCTATCTTACAAACAATGGAAACATGTTTTGAAACTTTGAAGATTTAATGCCTAGCTTATATAGGAGCACGTAATTTACGTCAATCTAACATCTAACATGAAAGTATAGGGCAGGTATTAATAGTGTAGGATCTGACACTCATTCTATATCTTAGTAAACTAACCTAGATCAAGGTCAAAGTCAAGTAGGATCGAGGGCAAGTCAAAAATGTGAAGACATTTATGCTGTTCAGTGTGGGTCATTTATAAAGCTTGTTACCTGTTTTTCAAGAGACTTCAAAAAAGGAGAAGGTTCTCAATGTGACTGTATTTTTTTATGTGTTACCTCAGAACTATTTCTAGGTGAACCGATTTTGTAAATTATTTTTTTATTTGAAAGCTGGTGCTTCTAACGTGGTCCAATATAAATTTCATCAAGACCTGACCAGGAATTTTTAAGTTATCCTTAAAATGCATATTTAATTGACTTTGACTAAATTGATGACGTCCTCATTTTATTTATATTGAAGTCAGTTGTACAACATTTTTAATTTTATCACTACATCTTACAACACACTTAAATGATTTTACAGGGAGTTGATCCACTTTCATAGAAGGGTTTGAATATTGTACATTATTCAAGCTCAATGAAATATACCGGCTGGTCATACATCTAAGAATATTTAAATTGTTAAGATGGGGTAGATGCCCCTAATTCCACCCTTTTCGCCTTTTTACTTCGTAAATAAGATTTCTAGTAGTCTTAACTACAAATATTGTGACCTAAAAATTCTTCGTAACTAGAGGAAAGTATATTTCAAATATTACCTCACAGTTTTAAAGCTAACAGTGTTAAATTAAAAATCAAAATATGTACGCAACGAAAAACGCTCATTTTCCTAATTTTTTGACAAGTTATGATCCCGGTAAAATTATGCTTACTTTATATTATCTCGTATATAGGATTTTTGATTTATATGAATATGATTATAGACATAGTAATGCAGTTATTTTTGTTTAAATTTACAAGTTATTTATTTTCTTTTAGTCAGCCGGCTGTTATTTGCTTTGACGTACCTAATAAGAAGTACCTAATTTCACAGCCACGTAATATAAATCAGGGCTGTTATAAACTGCAATAAATACTGTTAATTAGATCATAACTTATTTTATAGTTAAGGGAGTTATGATCAATTTGTCTGTTTTAAAATTGGTTTTAGATTTTAAAGTTTAGCAAAAGATGTACTGGCTTTTCTATCTGACATTCGTTGTATATTAAGAACACCTTATGTAAGTATTCAATTATTTTTTGAGAAAGAAGAAATAACAAGCTATAAATATAGTATATATACAAGCAAAAACTATAACTTAGTAATACTAATTATAACTTAGAACATAAATGAAAAACTCATGACAAGGAAAGTGGTTTAGGACCAGGTTTTGCGGCAGTCTATGGAGGAGGATATTCAGTAGTGGACTTATGTAAGGTTGTAATGACGATGATGATTTGAAAACTTGGAGGATTAAATTATTAGAAATCGATGTACTACATAATATTTTATCATAATTTGCTTTAATTTATTGAACTGCTTTAAACTAAAACACAATAAGTTAAGTAGTAAAATATTAAAATAAAATAATGTTGTCATCTGCCTTATATATAATCTTATATAGAATCCATGATTGTGGCATGCAGATTCAAAATTAAAAGTTGTTACGAATTTATTTCTGTGCCTCTAAAACTTACCTACAATAGGTACCTACCAAAAACTCAAAAGGCATAACCCTATGCTATGCTGACAATAGGTACACATAATTTAAAATTAAAAATTTTGTACAGCCGACTTCAATATAAGTTATTTAAGAATAACTTAAAAACTATTGGTCTGACCTTGATCAAATTCACATGGGACCACACGAGAAGTACCAGCTTTCAAATAAAAAAAGAATCATCGAAATCGGTTCACCCAGAAAAAAGTTCTGAGGTAACACACATAAAAAAAAAAAAAAAAAAAAACGAAAAAAAAAAAAAACATACAGTCGAATTGAGTACCGGCTCCTTTTTGGAAGTCGGCAGAAAAGGACGACATTCGGTTCAGGGTGGCTGGAATTTGAGCCATAACGCCCTTTTTTGCTTATCGTAGTTTTTAAAATTGTTCTTGAAATAATATGCTTGTAAATAAATTTTCATTACATTTGTCCATAAATAACCTATCGATTAAAACAAATGTTTAAAAATATTCTGCCCTGCTTAAAATAGCAGGAATTTTTAAAGTTGAAATTGGCACTAAAAGGCTGGTAATAGGGGCATCCACCCTATATGTACTGTCAAATCATTACCAGTTATTATCCTGTTGTAACACTTGTTTTTCCTACCTGCTAGTGGCAAAGAATCAACTAAGATACATACAATTCAACAAGTGAATTCAAGAACAGGTGACTGTAACAATGAAAAAAGCACTGACTAAAAATGGGCAGGTAGAAAAATTCTCTATTGTTAAGTATGCTTACCATTGTCAAATTGAGTTTTATTGTTAAATAGGCTTGAAAGGCAATTTATTGTATGAGAATATTTCTAAAATAATATTACTATTGTTATCTTTACTATTTTTTAAATGTAAGAGACATGAAGAAATAAACTAGAGATAAATGTGAAACATAAGTAAAATAATTTAATTTTCAAAAACTGAACTGACTTTAAAAACTAAAAATAAAAAACAATTTCCAGATAATTTAATATTCAGTTATTAGGGCTTTTAGTTTTTATTTTTGAATGCACTGTCTTAGCACTAATTTCAGAAGCAATATTAAGTAGTTTTTTGTTCTTTTTAGTATTTTAAAATCGGTTTATACTTCTTTTTAGAAAAGTTTAATAATTTGACACATGATTGGACTAACCAAATTCAAAATCACAAGGCCAAGATAACAACTAGAACATCTGTTGCATTAAACATTTCATCCCCTATTTATCCACCCTGGAATTTTTTCTAAAAATTGACATGGGACAATCCTTGAGATATAGTTAAATAAAAAAGAATTGTTAAAATCATCTCATAATTATTGGCGAAGACACCACATAACATACATACAAAAAAAAGGTTGAAATTTAGAATCGTTTGGCAGGAGGAGGGGGCAGGGGTTGAGGGGAGGGGAAAAGGGGAGCGTCCCCTTACTCCCGACACCACTTCCATTAAAAGGTAATACACCATTCTTGAGAAAAGTCAAAAAGAAAATCCCATAGACGTAACCTGACTGTAACATTTATCGTCTCCAGCAGGAGGGGGGAAGTGGGTAGCAGGAGTGTGCCCTATCAGGGAAAGCCTTAGGAAAAGTATAGTTTATGAGTAATGATCTTTTTTTAAATCATTTGATTATAATATAATACACTTTGTGTTTTTGGTTTGGGGGATGGACTACACTCTCACAGATTACACATAAAAATAGCACTATATTCATATGATAAGTGTAGTGAACTGGAGACCCTTTATAATAGTAATGAGGCTTTCCATTTTAGTCCTCAGGTGTGACAATGCATCTGCATGTTTATTCTTAATCAAGGATAATTGTAGATGTCTGTGGGCCACAATATCCACTTAGGATAATGTGGACTGTGCATTTGTTTGTCACTCATACTCCAATAAACAAATTACGAAATGTGCATTGTATATTCAACATTGAATCTTCAAATTATATTTCAATTTTGAACAATGTTCTTCTTAGAGCTGGTTGCAGTTGCACATCCTACAGCATATTATAAATTATCAATTAATGTAAATGGGGATAAAAGGCATTTTTCAGATATCACACAAACTAAGCACACAATATAACAAATGTGGAACTAAAATAAAAGCAATTCAAAACCTCTAGACTTCAATAACATAACAGACCAAGTTAGTCTTAAACTTACTATACATAGTGATGTATATAAATTGTTTTCTAAAACAAGTTTAGGACGCCTCATACAATATTTCTTTCCACATAGAATTAATTATGTTATTGAAAATATAACCCTGACCCTGATCATATCAAAGTATTGATGATTTCAATTACATTGAACATTCCGGAACAAACAATTTACAGGACTTATGACCAGAGTATAATAATGTTTGACGATCAACATTATCGAGTGGGTCTCACAGATCACAAGGTACTAAAACTCAAAATAATACATTTGAATGATCGACTCAAATCACCCAGTCATAAGACGAATCAATACTTGAATTATTGGGTCACTAGAAATGAACAAATGACATATCGCACGCTTAATAATAAACTGACCGATTACGGTTCAGGTCCAAAACGAGTGAAGCATACAAGGAAATTCGTTTTAACGTCATCTATCTTTCTATCTCGGAATTTCTTCGATATCTTGTTCCTAGCCCAACTTTAAACTCTATCTGTCTCTTTCACTCTCATACGTTTTCACGATGATTATTACAAGACAGTGGCGCTAATCATTATGCGTCGGCCGCTGTCATAGTGAACACGTGGAGTTTTTATTTTTAAGTGACTGAATCATAATTAAGTCTCTTTTGTGCGAAAATCTAAGGTAAGTTTTATTTAACTTTTTCATAAAACCATGACCCATTTTTATTACGTCTGTTTAATACAAAAAATATCAAATTATCCGTGTTTCTTTTTAGTTTTAGGTCTGTGTTTTATAAAAATGTGACAAAATTATGGTGACCAACTATGAGTTAAGCCTGTTTTTCATAAAATACTATGGTATTTTTGTAATAGTATTTGTTGTCATTAGAAGTTCTGTCAGTTTTTTACAAAACTGTTTACAAAATGTAAAGAAATACTTTGATATAAGTCTTTTTCTTATAAAAAACTATTATCCGTTATTTAATTGTCTTGTTTATGTTGAGTTTTGTGTCACTATTCTTTTAAGTTTAACATCAAATAAAAAGAGAATTTTGGATAAGAAAATGATTCGTAAATTCTTTTAAGATGGCTTCGAGGTCGAGGAAGATAATGGAACTGATAAATTTGCAATTAGTTTCGCCTGCTGATCTTTCTACCAATGAAGACGAAGTTCCAATTCAAGGTAGACCATCTGATCACAACAAAATGTCCATGGACTTAGGTCAAGATTCTGCGGCTAATGTTGTGGTAAGGTTATACCTATTTAATTTTATATTAAAACATAACTGAGTTCTAATTTACTTCAAAATACATAACATCGCGCTTGTATTACAATGCAATTGTGTGTAAAGTCCCATGTAATAGAGGGCGAGCCTATACCTCTAGCATCCAGGCACAAATTCAAGCTCCGGGCTGCTACTGAGAAATTTCTAATGGAAAAACCCAATAACACATTACCCGCCCTTAGAATCACACTCACACCCAGGACCTCATGCTTAGCAGTAGCGTTTGCAACCACTAGACCAAAGAGGCAGTCGCTGTTACTAAAGAATAAAAGTAACAAAACGATACTAATTTATAATTACTAAAGTTATATTTATTTTTTTGTTACAGATATTATCAGATATCACTAATAATCCTGAAAACAAGTCTTACTTGAATGTTAAGACCTTTTTTGAATCCGACGAAATCGCTCATCAAAAATGTGCTAGTCGAAAAAGAGACAATGTAAATTACAATGTCTCACCTTTAAACTCGGATGAATCGGACGTAGATGTTAGTGACCAAGATCCAACGTATGACCATCAAATAAAAAAAAAGAAACTGATACCAGTATACCCCGTGTTGCGGCGTTTATCGTCATCTAGTTCTAGCAGCTCATCGTCATCTGGTTCTAGCAGCTCTTCATCGTCAGAGTCATTATCTCCTTCCGTAAATTCGAATCATGAGCCAGAAAATTTTATACCCACTTATCAAGACTTTAATACTTTTAACAATCCGGACACTACAGCTAATGAACAATTAATTGAGGCACAGGGAACAAGTTCAATTGAAGAGATGGCAGTAGGCCAAAGTAACATTGAAGAAGATATGGAGATTCCCAAGAAGAAAGGTAGGAAGCGCACTAGTAATCCTAAAAATTGGAGACAAAACATAAATAGAGTACTAAGAAATACTGGCCATTCTTATGTATCTAAGGAAAAAAAAATCATTCCACCTCGTGAAGTGAAGCAACCTTGCACAGATCGTTGCAGACTTAAATGTTCTGAAAAGTTTACATCCGTTCAGAGACGAGCTCTTTTTGAAGCTTATTGGAATATTGGGGACGTTGATAAGCAGCGATTGTTTATAAACTCTTGTATGTCCAACGTCACGCCTAGATATAAATACACAAACGCCATGCGTCCGAGGCAGAGCAATAAGGCTTTTCACTTTATTATGGATGACAAACCAATCCGAGTTTGTAAACAGTTTTTCATAGGAACACTAAATATATCCGATCGCGTTATTCGCACAGTAAAACAAAAGTCTGATAAGCTTGGCATTATCCAAAGTGATCAAAGAGGAAAACATAACAACCACCGTACTAATGATGAATCACTGATTTTAGACATAAAAACGTTTATAGACTCTATACCAAGAATTGAGTCGCACTACACAAGGCAAACTTCTACTCGCGAGTATATAGATGGGGGAAAAAGCATCACAGATCTTTTCAAAGACTTTAAAGAATGTCAAGAAAAAAACAATAAGTCATGTGGTAAATATTGCACATTTTACAATGTATTTACTAAAGAATATAATATATCATTTTTTTATCCGCGTAAAGATCAATGCGACCTGTGTCTGCAGTACGCAAATTCAAATAACGAACAGAAGAATCTAATTCGTGCCAAATTTGAAGCTCATTTGGAAGAAAAAGCACTAAGTCGGCAAGAAAAATACAATGACCGCTGCAAAATAAATGAAAAGAATAAAGTTATTGTTTTTGATCTACAAGCTGTTTTACAATCGCCGAGGGGCAATACATCAGCATTCTACTATAAATCCAAATTAAACAGTTATAACTTTACTGTCACGCTTCTTAACAAAAAAGTTGATGGCCAAATGAAAGACGCCTATGCTAATGTACATTCTTATTTTTGGAATGAAACTGATGCCAAACGTGGTGCTAACGAAATAGGCTCCTGCTTACTGGATTGCTTTGAGAAGGTTTGTCGTGATTCAAGTGTTAGTGACACTGGCTTAAATTTCATTTTATATTCTGATAATTGCACTGGCCAGAATAAAAATAAATATATATTGGCACTTTATCTCTATGCGGTGACCCACCTGAATATAGAATCAATAACACATAAATTTCTAATCAAGGGGCACACCCAAAATGAGGGAGATAATATTCATAGCCTTATAGAAAAGGAAATAAAAAAGAACCTTAAAACAGGACCAATATACAGTCCCCACCAGTATGTAACCATAATTAAAAATGCCAAAAAAACGGGCCAAAAGTTCTTAGTTCATGAATACACCTACGATTCATTTTTGGACTTGAAAAAACTTCAAGAAGACTGGGGATACAATTTCAATGAAACTGAAGACAAAAAACACTTATCATGGAACGATATAAAAATATTAAAGTGTAAAAAAAGTGAACCGTTTGCATTTTTTGTGAAAACATCATACAAAGATAAAGAGTTCATAAAAATATGCTTAAGGAACAGGAGGAAAAAAATGAAGCCCTTGTCAGAGCTGACAACAGTAAAAGCATACACGGGCAAGCAAGAGCTCAGCGAAAACAAAAAGAAAGATTTAAAGGAACTGATTGATAAAAACCTGATCCCCAATTTTTACAAAGATTTTTATGACACAATTTTGTAAAAAGTTAATTTTTTTTAACTAACCTAATATTAGTAGGTAAACTGACTGATTGTACAAAATTGATCTCTTCATTAGTAAGTAAGTACATCATTAGTAAGGACTATTGTATAACATTTAATAGTAGGTGTGTTTATAAGAATTTATTTTCATATTCTGTGATTAAATAGATAACAAGTTTTTCTACAATTATCTAAAGAAGTTTACAAGTTAAAGATTTCTTTTAAGATTTATTATATAGACTATTTTTCATTAAAACTGATTATTATTACCTCTAATTATTGTGTGGAAGAACTAATTCTAAGAAAAAATACAAAATTTTAACTGTTTTCACTTATAAAGGAGTTTATATTATACTATAGTATTTAGAATTTATATTATAATAGTTTATGTAGTTATACTGATTGAATACCAAATATTGCAGAGATAATTAAGTAATAGGTATTAATATTTTTATTGTTTTAAGGATATAAGGTAATAATGAAGACATAGAAGCTAGCTAAGTTTGTTATGGTTATGATTGTTATTTTTATAGTTCATAAAGTTTTTTGAAGTTGAATTTATAAAGCTAACTTTGTAGTTTGCTTAAATTTTTAAACTGAAATAATAATAGATACTTATTTTAGAAATAAGTACAAAAAGTATATGATTCAAAATTGTGCTAAATATACTTTGTTTTCGATTCCATTTTGTTCCAAATTACACAGTAAAAGACTTAAAATATAAAAAATGTTTTATTTTTTGATCCAATACAGACGAAATACATAAAAATGTTAAATATTTAGGTAGATATTTGATAAAATACAGACTTATTACAAAATGCGACATCAGTACTAGAACGATGTATAATTGGCTTTAATAATAAACAGACTTATGTCACATACATCATTTTTAAACGCTTAAAAAATAATTAAAAAACAAAATTTCTTCTAAATATCATTTGTGTATCAATAATTAGTTCATCAACTATTCCTACAATATATTATTTCATTATAATTATGCTTTTTCACTAAGTTTTAGGCTATTATGTAAGACAAGTCCTGATTGCCAAAACGTTTTATGCGATTTTCCAAAAAACAGTTTTTTTTAGTTAGGTCAGTATATTATTAAGCGTGCGATATGTCTACTTCAAATATACCACAGTAGTCCATGCACTGCTTTTTCGCAGATGGTAGAAGTACGTAGACATTGTTTAATTTAAGAAGAATAATATAATAAGCACAATAACAAAAATGGACTTTATGTCTTTGTTTTTGAACAGCTTAATAAAATATTTCAATTTACATAAGTGTACATTAAAAACTAGAGTCATACTCCCTAAAGATGATTAGTAAATATATTTCCTAATATCCAGTACTTTAATGGCCACTGTAAGTGTCCACTACTAATAATAACAATCCAAGCATAATCATACAAGATACTGATAAAGAATGGTTGTGGTGCAGGAATTTCTTTATTGCTTTGCATTTTAAAACTTTATTCCCATCATAAAAGTTTTATTTCTATTGCAATTAAGATAGTTTTAGGACCTTTTAACTTTGAACAGTATTTGTGATGCGAAAAGAGAGTTTATTCTCAAGTTAGTAAAATTCACACATTTGTATGAATTGAAATAATTTGAAATTCTTCCTGCTCCGCAAACACGCCATAGAAGGTTTATGTTGTATTATTTTAAAATTAATGAATATCAAATCAAACTATGTAACTCTCTTAACGCTTGTAACACCAATGACTATCCTTTCTGTGAACGAAATAGATACAGGACTAAGAATTTATTACAATATTTTTATGAATGGTCATTGATGTACAATACGGCCGACGTATCTTGGCGAGTCCGACCTTCGCGCAGAAGGTTGCGCAATAGCTTTTTTAAGGAACAAAATGGTGGCATGAGGCGACGTACGGGGGGCGGTGGTCTAGGCTAGAGATTGACCATAAGTAAACACAATCGACCCTTTAGTCATAAAATATCGCAATCGATTAGTTTTATTTAGAAGTTATTGATTTTTGTTTATATAAGATATTAAACGAAATAGATTTACAAATATAGTGAATTTTGTTGATAATAAACAAGATTTCGACTTAAATAAAAAAAAAAAACTAAAAACATATTATTTTCTCAGCTGAAAGACATAATGTACTTAAATATCAATTATCTATTAACGTCTTCTTGAGTAACGACTATTTGAGAAAATTTAGAACCTCCTTATAAATTGCAAATAAATATATTTTTATGTCTTAATTTTAATCGATTTGAATAAAAATCGATTAAACAACACCCTCAGGCACGCGTGTTGGACATCCCTTTCTGGTTACTTCGTAAAGCTTCGTGCTTATTCGGCAATGCTCGGTACACGGTAATATTTCTCAGTCACACGTTAGCATTGGTGTCGTGTTCGTGTCGCTATCTCTGTCTTGAGCACAGTCGGTTACAAAAGTTTTCGTTGTTATTGTTGTTTGTTTTTATTAATAGTGTTAAGTTTGTTTTGTTTGTTTTATTTGTTTTATTTGTTTTATTTGCAAGTGTCAGTTAGCACTTATATTATTCGCCAAACATGCCACCAAAACATAACAGTGTGTTAAATCGCCAGGCGAGAAAAATTATTTACGATTTAACGCAATATATGAAAAAAGAAAAAGAAGAAGGCGTAAAAGATGTCGATAAAGTTTATTTAAGAGTTGCTAACGCAACTGGTGTGTCCCAACGCACAGTACAGCGGATCGCAACTGAAGGCAATATTTCGGGCTTACTTTCAGTATTCCGCACGCCTGGTAAAAAAAGGTCTAGATCAAAACCTATTACTGATATGGATAATTTTGACCAGGGAGTAGTAAAAAGATGCATACACAACTTCCACAAAACTGAAAAAGAAATGCCGACGATAAACAAATTACTAGCGAAACTCAAACGGGATATAAATTTTCAAGGTGGTAAAACGAGCTTAAAGACAATTATCAAAAACTTGGGTTTCAAGTGGCGAAAGACCGAAACCAATAGAATGGTTCTTATAGAGAAGACCGACATTCGCCTGAAAAGGATCTTGTACTTGAAGGCAATGAAAAAATACAGGGACGAAGGGCGACCAATTGTATTCACTGACGAGTCGTATGCCCACTCATCACATACAAAAGGTAAGGCGTGGTCAGATGGTTCCGCTCAAGGACTAAAGCGCCCGATATCAAAAGGTCAGCGGATAGTGATGGTACACGCTGGGTCAGAAGCAGGGTTTGTTCCGAACGCGCTACTAATGTTCAAATCTGGCAGCAAAACCGGAGACTATCATGATGACATGAATTTCAAAAATTATGAGAAATGGTTACGGACCCAACTGATTCCAAATTTGAGCCCTAACTCGGTGGTGGTTATCGATAATGCTCCGTACCACAACAAATTAATGGATCCTGCCCCTACATCTAATGACAAGAAGGCAAAAATGGAATCGTGGTTATTAGAAAAGGGTATACCATATGAAAAGGACATGCGTAAACCACAACTTTACGATCTAATAAAAAAAAACAAAGACGTGAATAAAAAATACGTAATAGATGAAATGTTTAAACAAAACAACCACGATGTCCTTCGTTTACCCCCATATCATCCCGATTTAAACCCCATCGAGATGGTGTGGGCTGCCATTAAAGGGCACGTAGCCGCTAAAAACGTCGACTGGAACGTAACCCGGACAATGGAGCTCATACAAGAAAAAGTAAATTTAATGGGTCAGAATGAATGGAGTGCTTTATGCAGAAAAGTGCAAGAGGTCGAACATGACTATAGGAAGAGCGACCATATTATTGACGAAATGACGGATCAATTATTCATCATTAATACAGCTTCAGATTCAGAAAGTGAGTCTGAAAGTGAGAGCGACGATTACGAAGATGAACCTATGCCAAGTACCTCACATGGTACACAAGGGGCCGACGACTTTATGTTAGGAATTTCCCCCCTCAGCGACAGTGATTAAATAATAATAAGTGTAAATAAATAAAAAGTATTAAATGTAAATAATATTGTATGTGTTTGTGATAAAATCTGCCCCTATCGAAAGGTGAGGTATCAAAATTGAATCTTTAATTTATAATGTCTCCAAAGTGTTTTGATATTTTTGGTCACTGTATTAGGGAAATTTTATTTGTACATTGGTATATATAAAAAAATGACAATAACAGTTTTCTTCACGAGTGTTCATGCGCTAAACTTCGCAGAGCCTATATTCAGACTCGCCAAGATACGTCGGCCGTATTATAGTCATGAATGACATTGGAAAAACTATCTACAATGTTATTGAAATTTACACTGATAACACTCGGAATATGACTTACACGGGAGCACACAAAACGCAGTCTTTCGTATAGTATATATACAAGCCACCATCAGGAAATGATAACAACATACGATCGAGACTCAAGACTCGCAAATATTACGAGGAAAAAGACGGTTAATTTTAGCGGGCAGGTCGATTGCCAGACCCTACGTCATACGCGCAGGCGTCCACAGCTGTCAAGGATCACTGACCTAAAAAATTTCACGCCATCACGCGGCCCTAACCTAAATGATTTGAAACGACAACAAAGTTATAAGTATTATTAATATGTCAATAATCTTACCTTCAGAAAACGATATTCCAAAGCATGAGGCAGTGGGATTTCCCAGTTGTCCGAGGGAAAGTAACGATCCGTAATCATCTGGTGAAGATATTTCGTCATAATTTTCACCGCCGCACTTCGTGATATCACTCGACACAGACATTTAAATTGAATAAAAACTATATAATATATTTTGGAGTAATGAAAACACTTAAATGAAGCGTGTTTTACACGTTTTACGCACATGACTAGACAAAAACATTGCACTTTAAAATCGTCACATTGAAAAGGATACACTTGAAGCCGTTGGCCCATATCCTGGATAAGGTTTGCTGCCTGCTGTCGGTACGCAAGCTCTTTATCTGCATCTAAACCGCATTTTCTGCTTGGTGAATTCTGTAGTTGCTCTTTTGTAAAATACCATTTCTCTTGTCCTCCAGCCATTGAACGAATGTTCTAATGACTGCCCGCGAAGAAGCACGACGGAAAATTTAGCTCCGTTTATGTGCTCAAGTGGAAAAGGGACAGCGCTATGACAGCGACGAACGGATGCAGACCGCGTTAACATTTGAGAGATTTTACAATATTAAAAATAACATATTGAAGCTAAAATAATTAAACACTTCATAAAAAGATTAGCAAATATTAAATGTACTTTTAACACGTAACTATAACAATGAAAGTAAATGTTGGATATATCGTAAATATGTTAACTTGATAGGTTTAATCAGACGTCGTCCGCCATTGAATAACTTGATGGTTAACGTAGTGAGTCTCCGGTGACAGAATGATAATCTGTAACAAACACAGGTACGTTTTACTTTATCACTATATTTTATTTTATAGATCAAATGCTATAGATTGTTTTGTATATATTTTTAGTATAATTCATTCACTTTTAACAAAAATTTAACCATTTTAATTTTACGGGCCTAAAAAGTCTGTCACTCGGTGCAAATGGCCGACCCACCACTGTTGACAATACAATTCATTATTTCTTTTGTCACAAAACTTCAGCTTCTTTAACACTTAAATAAAATAATTCTAAAATACATTATTATTATTTTACATTAAGCGTCATAGTTTTATTTATCAGTTCAGTATGTTTTTTTTTATATACAATAAATAAGTATGGTATTTGATATTTTGTTTTGTCTACCAATTTTTTCGCGGTGTACACCAGGCGTGGTGGAGAACTGGAATGTGAGAGAATAGGATAGAGTATGTATAGAAAAAAAAAATATGAATAAAATAATTACTTGTGGCAATTACATAATACATAAATCGTTCATGGTATTTTCCACTAAGCACAGTGTATATATTTTTTGGCAGTTTTTTAATTAATATCATTTCTCATTAGGCAAATTAACTAAGTAATTATTACCTACTGTAGATTAGAAACGATTACAAAATGTTTACAATTAATAACGAAAATTTGATAAATTTACACCATCACAACATTAGAATTACTGAGCGTAAGTACCGAACAAATGTTTTCAAAGTTTATATTTCTTTGTGTATACTAAAAATTTTTGCATATTGCGAGGGTTCCATAATATGTTTTGCGTTTTCTGTTTTGAAATTACTACGATGCTTTGTTCATTGCTTATGCTATTTGGGATAATAAATATGATATATAATCTAATAGAAGATATATTCGATTATCTTTTTAAATGGTCACTTTTTCGCTATTGGGATGTATCCTAAAGTCTAGTAATTATAATTTACCTGCTGAATATTCACTAGGATAGTCTAACCCTATGTATTTATTATAAGGCTGGTTAACTTGTAACTTCCTTCTCAGCGTAATTAATACTTACTCCCCAAAAGTACATACTTATTTTTCAGAAGACAATGCACATTTCTCAAGTTACAATGTCTTCTTCTAAAAAATAATTACACTTTAGGAGGCTCCTTACTTAATTTGAATAGGCTTATAGAATTATTAATGTTTGAAAGTGTTAAATTAAAGTGGGTGTAATGTATAGACTTTGTTTATAAAAATTTATCTAAACATATACAACAGTGTTTATTTTTAGAAATCATTATTAAAGTTGTCCATGATTAAAAATATTTTTATAAACTAAAGTATAATCTTGCCATTGTTTAATTATTGGATATTAATTTAAATTATTTTGAAATATTTGATATTAATAAAAACTGATGATGATGAAAAGGGGGAATAAATTTTTTTTTCAAACTTAATCACATTGATATAAGATTTGAATTGCATTAAAATCTATCTGTAACATTATTTAATATGGTAACTCTAATAATTTTATTGAAGTATTATTAAGTTAGCATGTACATGATCTGCCCAAAATACTGTAGTATAGTAAAACACAATATTGTTCTTCTGTCCATGTGTATGTGATTGTACTCCTCCTAAACTGTTACCTAAACCTAGTTTCACAATTGGATCTGGTAGGTAGCACTGTTTTCGAGCCTGCGCACATGGTTAGTAATTAATATAAATACCAATTGATTATATCAAAATATCATTGATGCCGTCCTATTTTTCTTCCGACTTAAAAAAGGAGGAGATACTCAATTGGACTATTTTTTTTTATTTCTATTAAAGCTGGTGCTTCTCATGTGGTCCCATATAAATTTGACCTAGGTCTGACCAATAGTTTTTGAGCTATTCTTAATAGTTTATATTGATTTAATTTATTACATTTATTAGATTCTTAATGTGGTAGAGCCATGCTGCAGCTGTATTACTGGTATAGTTGCAGCATGAATGGGTCGGCTCGATCGGGGAAAGACCACACTCTCACAAAGTACCAGTATAAAATAGCAGCTTAACGCTGCTGTGTTTCGTATGGTGAATGTAGAGAACTCGACCCTTTTAACTGGAAACGAGGCATTCCATCTTAGTCCTCACAGGTGACAACGCATCTGCATTTTGATTCCTAATCGAGGATAGATGTAGATGTCTATGGGCTACAGCAACCACTTACCATCAGGTGGACTGTGTGCTTGTTTGTCACCCTTATCATATTAAAAAAATTGAAGTCAGTTGTACATAATTTTAAATTTTAAATTATTAATGTCCTAAGCTTATATTTCATACTCCTCAGAAGCCTAATTGCTTATTTTTCTGTTGGCCTACTCCATACCCCAATCATATTAATCAAGAAATATTATTTTAGTTATAGCTTTAAACTAAATAATTTGTGGCACATTGTGATTATGCCATAAATTTTTTATTAAACTATAAGTATTTAGTTAAACATATTTATTAAGTAATCTTCAATAAGTACTAAGGTTTGTGTTTTTGTGTGGTTATTACCCAATTAACACAGGTAGCATTTCAACAAAAGAATAGTAAACTTATGAAGTCTTAAGGTCCATATATAGGTTCACCGAGCATCTTGACGGTTTATATTGGCATTTCATACCATTATGATGCTATACATTGTATAAAGGTTGGATAATGGCATATCAAAATGCTTTTGTAATGTCTTTAGGTTTAGTGCAGCAAACCACATTGTATCTGTACAGCTTCCAACTGTTTATAGTGCATTTGGATTTACAATAGCATTTTAAAGTAATAAATAAATGCTTAATGCTGTTTAATAGCATAAATATGAACCATTCTAATGCCACGTAAATCCGCTATACAGCTTTCAGCTGTTTTTAGTGCCTTAGGTTCTACAATAGCATTTTTAAGTAGTAAGATAATGCCTAATGCTACTTAATAGCATAAACTTGTACCATTATAATGCAACGTAAATCCGTTATACAGCTTTCAGCTGTTTTAGTGTGCTTTATTGTTTAATAGCACTTTTCAGTAGTACTTAAAAGCCTAGTACTGCTGAACAGCATAAACATGGATCAATGTAATACTTGCATTCTTAAAGATCAACTGAGTTATGTTATACAGCTAACACCTCTCTAATCAAATACACGTGAGTTATTGTAATGTGTAAAGCTGTATATACATTCATTTTACTGTATTCGTAGCCAAATTGTGGGGAAAAGCAACATATGCACATGTTTTGTTACTCATATAATTTTTTTAATTTATTAAAAATATCCACAATTGCATTCAAGTAATGACTTTATTTCTGTCTACTGATATTTTTTTTTTTTTATAGGAGAGGGGGCAAACGAGCATGCGGCTCACCTGATGGTAAGTGACTACCGCCGCCCATGAACAACCGCAACACCAGGGGAATTGCAGATGCGTTGCCGGCCTTTTAAAAAGGAGTAGGCTCTTTTCTTGAAGGTCCCGAAGTCGTATCGGTCCGGAAAAATCCCTGGTGGTAAACTATTCCACAAGGAAGTTGTGCGAGGAAGAAAACATCTTCTAAATCGCACAGTGGTGGACCGCCAATCATCCAGATGGTGTGGATGGTATCGGGAGTTCTGCCGCGATGTGCGTTCGTGAAATTTGGCGGCTGGGATTAATCCGAACAATTCCTCAGAGCACTCCCCATGGTAGATGCGAAAGAAAATGCAAAGAGATGCAACATCTCTTCGCAGTGCCAATGAATCGAGCCGATCGGAAAGGGCTCGGTCGTCGACGATTCGAGCCGCTCTGCGCTGGATGCGGTCAAGTGGAAGGAGCTGGCACTGGGGAGCACCTGCCCAGAGATGGGAACAGTATTCCATGTGAGGCCGAACCTGCGCCTTGTAAAGTTGCAGGCGGTGTGCCGGCATGAAATACTGTCCCGCTCTGCTGAGCACGCCAAGCTTTTTAGAGGCCAATTTGGCCTTCTCTTCCAAGTGACCACGAAACTGCACGTCACTCGATATGTCGACTCCGAGGATACCGATACTGGCTGAGGCAAGAAGGGGAGTGCCTTGAAACTGAGGAGATACGACAAAGGGGTTCTTTTTAGCGGTAAACGCGCAAACTTGTGTCTTCTGAGGATTAAACTGGACTAGATTTAGTCGCCCCCAATCCGAGACTTTGTCCAGCAAAGACTCGACTTCAGACACAAGTTTGTTCCGGTACTCGGCGGTACCAGTGAACCCATATAAACAATGGTACTGCAGTGGTTCTTCAAAAGTCTTCTCGCTGGCTTAATAATTGTTCATGTGTGAGTATTTATATTGCTGGCAGCATTAATTAGAGGCTCACTTTTACAACCAAAAAATATTATCATTTAGACCTATTTAAAAATAATATAGCTATATACATATATAATAAAGATATAACTTAATTTAATACTGCTCAACCAATACTATTTTGTTAATTATGCAAAATTCGTTCTATATTAGGAATACACAATTGTTTTGATTATTTCACACATATTTTTATATAACATTTTATATCAAATCCACGAAAGATTAAAGACGTCTGAAAATTTTCAATGAAACTTATATAGACATTACATTACATTTTGATGCAGTAATATTTGAAGATATGAAAAATCAAAAAAGTCAGAAACTATACATTTTGTTTTGATGCAAATAAATATGGTTGTGTCACTCACTCAGTTCTGACCGTTTTTCGTCCATTTATTATATTGTGAGATAAATTAAGTAGTTAAATTACAACAATAATTGTATTATAACATTTAGTACCGCACATATAAAGATGTTTTTGCAATGATCTACATCATCAACCCTACAGTTTAACAAGTTCTGATTTAAATAGCTCCAATCAGTCTTTTACTACATTCTAATACTAGGCTTATGCTTTTGTAATGCAATTAACATATTCAGTATCAATAATAATGCTAGTATAATGCTTCTGTAATGCGATTGGCAAATTCATCAAGCATAATGTGATTGGCAAATTAATTGACCATTATAATGCTTTAATGCAATTGATAAATAATGCTAATATAATGTGGCTGTAATGCAATTAAACTACTATTGTGAAAGCATTACAGTATCCGTATAAATGTTTGTATTGCTATTATAGAACTAATTCAAAATGCAAAAGTGATACACAAATGCTGTAAGTTGGCTGTTATACTGCTTTGATGTGTTGCTTGGGTTAAATTGGATTCTACTATTCATAAAAGTGCCAGTTAAAATAAATTACATTTATATATTTCTTATATTACTAAATTTATCTGTTTAATTATTTTCAGTTGATTCATCCTCAGTATTAGATATGACTTCCCAACCACCTCGTAAAGTGATACATCTGTCCAAAGTCAGAATGCTCAACCGTGGCAGAGGTTCCTCATCTGCCATTAGGATAACAAATATCAAGTCTATTAAACCACCAGACCCTGAAGTAGTAAAAAAGCAGGAAGAAGACAAACTAAGGGCACAGGTTTGTGAATTTGAATACTTTTTTACTTTAATTTTTTTTTTTATAGGAGAGGGGGCTAACGAGCATGCGGCTCACCTGATGGTAAGTGACTACCGCCGCCCATGAACAACTGCAACACCAGGGGAATCGCAGATGCGTTGCCGGCCTTTTAAAAAGGAGTACGCTCTTTTCTTGAAGGTCCCTAAGTCGTATCGGTCCGGAAAAATCGCTGATGGTAATCGATTCCACAAGGAGGTCGTGCGAAGAAGAAAACATCTTCTAAATCGCACAGTGGTGGACCGCCAATCATCCAGATGGTGTGGATGGTATCGGGAGTTCTGCCGCGATGTGCGTTCGTGAAATTTGGCGGCTGGGATTAATCCGAACAATTCCTCAGAGCACTCCCCATGGTAGATGCGAAAGAAAATGCAAAGGGATGCAACATCTCTTCGCAGTGCCAATGAATAGAGCCGATCGGAAAGGGCTCGGTCGTCGACGATTCGAGCCGCTCTGCGTTGGATGCAATATTTTATTACAACTCAAATAAATGTTACACTTGTACCGATTGAGCCCTAGCTCCTGAACTAGGAATCCTGTATATCAGGAGCTAGTACCTTCCTTACATTATGCACAAACAATTAATATTAATTATGAATTTCGATCCAATTTAATTATACTTAATTATGTTGTGTTATTTTGTTTAAAATTAAAAAAAAAGAACAGTTTAAATAAATTATTAAATTCTAAATGAAATATTAAAAAAATGTATAATAATATGTGATAATGAGTATTTTTGTGTAAGTGTTTCGTGTATGTTATAATTTGTGAAGTAGTGTTGTTAACTATGTCAATACTACTATGCTTTAATTATTTTGAGAAGTGGTCTAAACTTACATTACTTTGAAAGAAAAGTATTAGTCATTAATTGTGTTAATCTTAATTGATATGAATTGAATATAGTATAGTCCACCAAATTCATGAATGTAATTTTTTTTAGAGTCCAGAGTAGATATCCAGCACCCCATATCATCCTGTGGGTGTGTTACGAGGTGAATGTAATAAAACTTAACTTTGTTACACAATGTATTACAGAACAAAATCCTCCCCAAAACTAATGCAAATCCAGCTGAAAGCATGTATGAGGATTTACATTGGATATTTATTTGAAATTTTAAGGTCAGTCTCGTCTGTCCTTAATAGGAAATCATGTAAAAATGCGAGAGCAGAATGCAGTATAAAATATGTATTCACACTGTTTAAAATAGAAGATAATAAAATATGTTAGTTATGTCATAATGCGTATACCTATGTCATAATGCGTATTAAAATTTCATAGAAACCCTGTCTCAGGAAATATTATAATAATATTATAGTTTAAATATTTAAACTGCTGATAAGCAAACTAAAAAAGCAAAAAGCAGTAATTATTGTTTTTTAAAATATATACTGTGCTTTTGTATTATTTTCTGAGCTAGATTTGACCTCAATTTTCCAGTTACAAAAGGAGATAATGTCCCGTTCCCGATCTTGCGCCTACCGTGGCTACACATGTCATCTACCAGTGTTAAATGGGCGACAGCACTGCGCGCGTCACATTCTTCACGAATTGGGCGCTCCATACAAACAGTGCTTGCACACTTACGCTGGTGGGCAACGTTGCAATAAACCAGCTCCTGCAGCAACTGGATCGCAGTCCAGAGATGCTTGGTTAGTATTAATACAACCATTATATATAACCAAGAAGTGGAATCTAATTTAAAAATGCTGTGTGTAATTTTTATATTTATACAATAGAATTATCACTTTTTCAAAAGAAGTAATGGATTCTCAGGCTAAGCGTCCACTAGGCTCGCCGAGCCGAGTCGAATCGAATCACAGAAAGTCGCCTCCTATATATTTACTATGAAACTGCGTCCATTAGCGACGAGCCGCGGCACGCCGAATTGAATCGACCGCGCGAATTGCTTGACAGGCGAATTTCTTCGCCGATGCGATTCGATTCAACTCGGCGCGCCTCAGTCGACGCGGCGAAGTAGATGCACGCCAGCGTATTTTAATTAATTTCTATTTGGTTTTCGTAAAAATATTTGTTTAAATAAAAATGAATGAAGAATTATTGTTACGGCCTACGGCTGCTCCCTTAAAGGATCCAATCCTCTGAAGCCCATGAGCAGAAGACTTCCCGAGCAAACGTAGGTCGGGCCTCAATGTGGCCACGTGGAAATTCCTAATTACAATAAACCAGATGGGAGGACGTCAGAAGGACATAGTACTTACCATTGTCCGAAGCTAACTTCGCACCAAGGCTTGGGCAGGCCGTGAGTGTGTGTAATAGTGGATGAAGAGTAGTGTACAGTGAGGGGTGAATGTGTGGGGCCTTGTCAAGCATAGGCGACCAGCTGCTGCCGAGTTCCAGGCTGCTCCAAAATGCTGCCACACTGCTTCAGACTGCTTCGGCGCCGGACCACAGTCACTTTCTTCTTTCGTCACGATGACAGTCAATTAACTCTATCGTACGATTAACTAACTTACAGAAGCCACTAACTATCGCGGGGTATAAGGTTACCGCACAAAACACGCACGGAGTTTCTGGATCAAAGGTCACTACCGTTTCGCGTTGCAACAGTTAGTTCTGGAATACAGAGGCCGCACTAGCTAATATTGTCGAATGCTCTTATGCAGATTCTGAGTCGGACCCAATAAGTCCCGGGGAAGCTCTCCAGTAGGGATACGCGCCACAAAATTCCTAGACCGTATTTTTACTGTCCGCGCTTAATTATTCCGAGTTCCCACGCTCAATTGGCAGCGTGCCAATCGTGAGCGCTGCCTAAGGACGACTGACTGCCCTTGGGCGTTTTTCGCACGACCGAAAGTCAAACCGGTATGAATGCACCGCGCCGAGCGCCCTCTCGCGTCAATCCTTGAAAGTGTTTTGCGCGAACAACTATTGATATCACTGGTCCATCAATATCCAGATTTGTTTAATCATGAAGATCCACATTATCATGATGAAATATAATTTAAAATTAAAAATTTTGTACAACAGACTTCAGTATAAGTTATTAAGAATAACTCAAAAACTATTGGTTTGACCTTGATCAAATTCATATGGGACCACACGAGAAGTATCAGCTTTCATATAAAAAAAGTATCATCGAAATCGGTCCACCTAGTAAAAAGTTATGACGTAACACACATAAAAAAAACATACGCGTCGAATTGAGTACCGTCTCCTTTTTGGAAGTCGGCAGAAAACCTCTCTTCATCCGAGCTATCCATAACGCAAATACGACCTATTTTGTTGAAGAATTTGCGATGAATGAATAATTCGATTCGATTCGTCAGAGATGGACGCACTAGTAATAAATGCGACTCGCTTCGATTCGACGCATTTCTGCTGTAGTCGACGCCAGGCTTCATGGTTATAACTAATCTTATCTTAATTCTTTATTATCTGTGGTCAAAACTGAATAAAAGGACTTCAAAGTTATTCAAAGAGAATTTCGTGTAATGCGTCAGTTATCATGACAAATTTTTTTTCTACATTACAGGTTATGTTTTGAACACGCGCGAGCCGCTCTGTACGCACGGCAACGTAGCGCTGCACCGCCACCGCCCGTCACCACTACTGAGACGTTGTTGAACCAACTCCAGCACTATGTTCAGTAAGTTACTGGTTACAGGTACCAGATAAAATAAAGGATGACATGTAATTACCAGCGTAAAATAGCAGCTTAGTGCTGCTGTGTTTCGTATGGTGAGTGTAGAGAACAACCGGCGATCCTTTTTACTGGAAACAAGGCATTCCATGCCAGTCCTCAGGGGTAACAACGCATTTGCATTTTGATTCTTAATTGAGCATAAATGTAGAAGTGGGCCACATCATTTACTATCAAGTGGACTGTGTGCTAGTTTGTCACCATTGTTCTATAAGAAAAAAATTGGAAGTTGATTCCAGACTTTTAGTTTATTCTTTCTTTATAATCATTTTTTAACCAAGCCTTTGTTTGCAATTTAAACTCTTTTATAAGCTCTAAATAAGTCTGAGCTGTAAGTAATATCATCATCATCATCATCATCGTTACAGCCCTTCACAAGTCTACTGCTAAACATAGGCCTCCCCCAAGGAATGCCCTGAGCCACCTGCATCCATCGACTTCCTGCATATCTTACCAGGTCATCACTCCATCTAGTGGGGGGACGCCCAGCACTTCGCCTGCCGGTACGAGGCTGCCACTCGAGAACCTTTTTTCTCCATCGGTTGTCGGTTCTTCGAGCTATATGGCCGGCCCATTGCCACTTCAGCTTACTAATCCGTTGGGCTATGTCGGTCACTCTGGTTCTACTGCGGATATCCTCATTTCTGAATTTATCACGCAGAGAAACTCCGAGCATAGCCCTCTCCATAGCTCGCTGAGCTACCTTGAGCTTCCTCATCCGGCCAGCAGTGAAGGACCACATCTCAGTTCCGTATGTCATCACTGGCAACACGCACTGGTTGTACAGTCTCGTTTTCAAGTTTTGAGGTATACCTGACGAGAAGATGGGCTGATGAAGAAGATGTGATGATGTATGTAATATAAGTTATAAAAATTTAAAAAATTTAGTGATAAAAACATTTATTTAGAAATTGAAAAGCACTTACTAAACTTTGGAAGTAAAGTTACAACCTATAATATAAGTCCCACTGCTGGTCTTTTTTCATTTCTGAGAGGGTTTTAGGGAAAGGAAATGTCTGCTGTACCTAAATGACTCATGACATATTTTGCAAACTGTTATAAATGACTGCTTGTAGTAATTGTAAATAATAATTGGCTATTTATTCCTAACAGTCCGGAACGAACACGAACAACTTCGTGTGCTTCTTCCGTTTCTGTTGTTAGTGATCCTATGGAACAGGAGCAAGTCACACCTCACGCCGTCGATCCTTTTAGTGAGTACAAAATTTACATACATATCTAATATATAAAAAATTATATTTGTTTGTTCGTATTTTATACGCTGCCATACCGTTTATCAGATTGCGGTAAAACTATGTCAACTTATTATTTTATTTATTATTTTCACGAAAAATTTATTTGGAAGTTATATATCATTCAACTTCAATGAATGTATTATCATTCCTAATTAAACAATATAACTCTTACAAATTTAAACCAATATGTGCACAATTATTTCTTCTGCGGTTGCAAAGCGCCAGGTGTCACCTAGTATATAATAAACATTTACAAATATTTTCTGTTTCCTATATAAAATGAATGATATACTAACTAATTAGCGTTATATCAGGTAAAATATATTATCATTAATTTACTTATGATATTAATTATATTCTACTAAGCCAGTGCTTATCTATGATCCCACCTGATGGTAAGTGGTGATGTAGCCTAAGATGGTGAAGCGCACTGACTTAACAAAAGCCTATTCACTCTTGCCTTGATGACACCCACACAGTAATCGGATGGAAAGACAGATGCTGGCAACTTATTCCACTCCTTTGCTGTACGCATGATGAACGACGTGGCGAACCGTTTGGTTCGAATGCGTGGTAAGTCAACAACGAAGGGGTGGAGACTGGCCGAACGTCTGGTTGTCCGATGGTGGAAGGGAGAGGGGGGAATTAAATTATGTAATTCCTGCGCACACTCCGAAATACATCTTGAAGAAAACCGAAAGGCTGGCTACTTTACGTCTGTGTTCGAGGCTGGTAAGATTGGTTTTAACCAAATTCGGGTCACCAATAAGCCTCTTAGCACGCCTTTCAATTGAGTCCAGAGCTGTTAAGTGGCATTTTGCAGCACCAGCCCATATATGGCAGCAATACTCCATGCACGACCGGACTTGCGCTTTATATAAAGTTAGCAGCTGTCCCGGCGTGAAGTATCGCCGCACCTTTGCAAGGACTCCCAGCTTCCTTGCAGCAGCTTTGCCCTTGGACTCAATGAACCGCACGAAGTTCAAATTTGAGGATATTTCAAACCCTAACAACTGAAGGCGGTCGGTATATTTCAGTGATACATTTAGGAAAGAAGGAGCCAAGGTGAGCTGCCTCCTTTTTGCAGTGAAAGACACGCTTGTGTTTTGGACGTGAGTGAGATTCACACGCTCTACCATAGCTTCTCTTTCGGACTGGATTTGATCCCGACAGGCCCGAGGACTTGGTTGGTATCTCTCAACAAGTTTGCTATCGTCTGCATACCCATAGATACCGGGCATAAGCAGATCATTAATATGCAGCAGGAAGAGAGTTGCGGAGAGAACGGACCCCTGAGGAACACCGGCGTTATTCACAACATGATCGGATGAGCAGCCATCGATGACGACCCGAATAGACCGTTCACTCAGAAAGTCCTTTACCCATTCAATCAGACCAGGGGATAAGCCGCACGCTGGAACCTTAGCCAAAAGGCTAGTGTGCCAAACTCTGTCAAAGGCCTTCGAGACATCAAGGGAAACAGCAAGTGCTTGCCCACTGTTCTCGAGTGCCTCGCCCAATACGTGTGTGGCATACGCTAGAAGGTCCCCAGCTGACCGATTTCGGCGAAACCCATATTGCCGGTCACTAAGGAGGTCATTCTGTTCTAGGTATGCCATTAAGCGGGCATTCAATATACGCTCCATAATCTTGCAGAGTATGGAGGTAATTGAGATTGGCCGATAACTGGAAGGGCCGGCGCGGCTGCTTTTTTTTTTAACAGGCTGCACGTTGGCCAGCTTCCAGGATTTTGGCACTATTCCAGTACTAAATGAGAGACGGAACAAGCGTGTCAACACAGGGGACAACTCAGGTGCACAAGCCTTTAGGACTGTAGCTGGTATACCGTCTGGTCCACTAGCTTTATTCACGTCTAGCCACCGCAAGGTTTTAAGAACCGATTTTTCCGGACCGATACGACTTAGGGACCTTCAAGAAAAGAGCCTACTCCTTTTTAAAAGGCTGGCAACGCATCTGCAATTCCCCTAGTGTTGCGGTTGTTTATGGGCGGCGGTAGTCACTTACCATCAGGTGAGCCGCATGCTCATTTGCCCCCTCTCCTATAAAAAAAAACCTCCTTATTCGTTATACGAATCTCCGACATAGAGGTCCCGCAGTGAGGTAATTTTGGTGGAACGTTGTTGCCACTGTCCAGACGTGAATTGTAAAGAGAGACGCGAACAAGTCCGCTTTCTCCTTAGCCGTATGCGCCAGTGTGCCATCCGGTTTTACCAACGGAGGCAGTGTAGGCCGACAGAAGTTTCTCTCGACCGCTTTGGCGAGAGACCAAAAAGCTCTAGTGCCGGATGGTCTGGCAGAGAGTTTTGCGCCATTATGTTTAATGCGATCGAGACTAGCTTTCCGTAATGCTTTTTTGTAGGACTTGGCGGTCTGGTTGAAAGTTCTCTTCTTGGAGCTAATATCCGGAACATTGCGGTTTCGAGCGTCAACCCAGGATAGGTAAGCTAAATGCTTGCGCTTTTCAGCTTGGGCGCATTCAGCGTTAAACCATGGGCGAGCTTTGCTACCGGTGGAAGCGTCAGAGAATGGGATAAAGTACTCCATAGCTTGACGCAACACATCCGTTATCGCAACCGCGCAGCTCGATGGATCCGCAGAAGAGAAACAAACCTCCCGCCAAGAATAAGTTGCAAAAAAGTGTCGCATCTCATCCCAATCAGCTGACTTATACCGCCATATTCGTCGAATCTCGCCATACTCGTAATCAGGTGGAGAATATGACGATGCAGATGATATTTATTAACTTAAAACAATCAGCAACTTTTCCGTATCAGCGTATTACAAATTTTGTAACCATGTCCGAATTACATTTCTACAATCTGCCATTTTTAATGGATACATGTACAAAATTGCATTGACTGTATAATCAATACAGAAAAGGGCTAAGGAATGTAAAAAATTATGCATGAAAGAATGCCTTATTCTAATGTTAGTTTCAATGACTTTATCTTTCCGTCTTTTATCAGTGACCTCTCTTCTGTATGGCAATTTTAAGTGCTGTTTTAGTAACTACTCATAACGAATAACTGGCGCACTGAGAGGACATTATAGGATTTAAATAAGAGATGGAACGGGAATAGGATAAGGCTGAATGTTGCGACTTTTAATACAGCTCTTTGAGCGCGTTCCAGTGGTAGCAGTGTAGTTTTAATAATATAAATAAATTGCCTAATAGGCATAGGCAAGTGTATATCACTCATTATATGAAAAAAATGTTTGAGTGAAACCAAACTCAGGCAAATGTAATGAAGAATATCCCTGACTATCTGTGCAAGATGTCTGGTGACAATTGGCTGCGTAGAGCCAGAGCAATCTGCTTTAACGTTCACTCTTGGTAAATGGATTGATGATAGAAGTATCTGATATTATAATACTCATGGGATGAATAGGTCTGAACGAAAAAGTCATTTATACATACTTACACTGATTATTCTGTTGTGGTCATTTTCGTCTCGTCATTTAAAGGGAACAAACAACAATAAAACAAAAACAAAACAAATATAATTTTTATAATGGAAAGAATTGCTAAGAGGCTTATTGGTGACCCGAATTTGGTTAAAACCAATCTTACCAGTCTTGATCACAGCCGTAAAAGCTAGCCTTTCGATTTTCTACAGGTGCATGTCGGAGAATGTGTGCAGGAGTTGCATAATTTATTTCCTCTCTCTTCTACCATCTGACAACCAGACGTTCAGCCAGTCTCCACCTCTTCATTGTTGACTCACCACACATTTGATCCAAACGGTTTGCTACATCATTCATCATGCGTACAGCAATAGAGTGGAATAAGTTGCCTGCATCTATGTTTCCATCCGAGTATAATGTGGGTGTCTTCAAGGCAAGAGTGAATAGGCTTTTATTAAGTCAGTGCGCTTCACCAACTTAGGCTATATCACCACTTACCATCAGGTGGGATTGTACATAGGCTGCACTAAAAGTATCGGGAATGGAATATTTTCACTGTTTCTGTCATATTAAAATCTTTTTAATTGAAAACTCCTTGGTTTTAATAATCGAATACCATTTATTTATTTAAAAAAAGAGTCTCGTTCTTGTCAGAAGGTTTTGTCAAACTTGTTTAGTCTTGGAGAAAATGGAATTGACTCGAGAAAATTCAAGAGCGATGATTTATTATGACTTTCGAAGTGGTTTAACACAAAAACAGTGTGTTGACCGGATGATTTCTGCATTTGGTGATGAAGCCCCATCCAAAACCACAATTCCAAAAGCCCAAAAACTGCAGTCACCCAAGAAAACGTTGATGCTGTGCGTACGCTGATTGAGGAAGATCGACATGTGACATACCGCGAAATTCAGGCAACTTTAGACATTGGCATGAGTCAAATACAAATAATATTGCATGAACAATTAGGTGTAAAAAAGTTGTTTTCCCGATGGATACCGCATTCGCTCTGTGAAGAGCAAAAGCGGCTCGCGTTACTTTGTGCGTCAGAACTCTCGAAAGATTCCACGCAGGATCCTCAAATGCTGTATACAACATCGTATCAGGTGACGAATCCTGGATATACGCGTACGAACCCGAAACCAAAAACCAGTCACGAGTTTGGGTATTTGAAAATGAGTAAAAGTAGTAAAGTAAAGCCAACAAAAATTGTTTGTTCACGGAGTGTTGCAAAAAAAATGGTGGCCACGTTTGTCTCCAAAAGCGGCCATGTTACGACTATTCCTCTGGAGGGACAAAGAACGGTTAATGCAGAATGGTATGCTAGCATTTGTTTGCCACAGGTCGTTTCTGAACTCGGTAAAGAGAACTGCAACCGCCGCATCATCCTCCATCACGACAATGCGAGTTCTCACACCGCACACAGAACAAAAGAGTTTTTAGAGCAAGAAAACATAGAATTATTAGACCATCCGCCGTACAGCCCCGACCTAAGCCCTAATGATTTCTATACTTTCCCTAAAATAAAGAATAAATTGCGTGGACAGAGATTTTCATCACCTGAAGAAGCTGTGGACGCCTACAAAACAGCCATTTTGGAGACACCAACTTCCGAATGGAATGGTTGCTTCAATGATTGGTTCCATCGTATGAAAAATGTGTCATATTTCGCGGAGAATACTTCGAAAAGCAATAAATACATTTTTAAATAGTAATGTTGTGTCACTTCCTTGATTCCCGAAATTTTTAGTGCCGCCCTCTTGGTTAAGTGCAGGCTTAGAATAATATAAAAAAAATAGCTGAAAATCAGTGTTTGCTCCCTGAGCAATATGAATCACTGCACTAGGACCCATTTGTTAAACTGTGATGCACATTTACTTTCAGATATTATGTAACTTTATGTAATAAGCTAGTTAGTATCTAGTTTGTTTCTGAGATCTGATTGGAGAAAAAAAGAAATGCTGTATCTATATTTCTATACATATTATTTAAAAAAAAATAACATATATTGACAAAAATTCTCTTGTGTGTCCAAAACAGAGTCATTTTTATATTATGCTAGATACCAGATCAAATACTTAGACTGTGTGCTGGAAATTTCCATCTGCCTGCCATGGAAAAGATTATGTCAAGTAGTATACTGTTATAGACTATTCTAATCGGTAATCTTCTCCAAAATGTTATTTTATTTTCCCTTACTTTACTTTTAACCCGAGATGCAAACAATAGGGTGTTATAAGTTTATCATGTATATCTGTTTCTAAGTGTCTGTCTGTGGCATCAAAGCTCTCAAAGGGATGAACCGAATTTTATTTAGTTTTGGTGGAAAAGTGACTTGATCGAGAGTGTTCTTAACAATGGTTAAAGAAAATCTGTTCAGCCATTTGAAGAGCATTAAATAAAAAAGAAATTAAATTCATAATTATTTTATGTTTAAGTTATATCTCTCTACAGAGCAGATCGACGCAACGGCAGTGAACGCCGCATATTCGTCGTCCATAATGGAGTGTGCGAGTGCCAGCGACAGCGACTGCGACAGTGTCACCCTGGGCCCCGAAGGCAACTGTCGGGCTGTTCACGAGGACCACTTGTCCGATGCAGAGGAGGCGCCATGCGAGTTACAACCGCTTTGGTAACGATCGACTTTGCTCACGTACACCTTAATAGATCATAAATATTTCAGTGGGAGGAATATGCCAGAATTGCTTATTACATCTGGAGAGCCGTGGTAGTTTTTGTCACCTGTCTGGGTTTTTATATCGGGTGTATATACAAGAATCTGAGATGTGGTTCTTCATTGCTGTATGAGGAATATCAAGGACACACAGCTAGCTCTGCGTGATAGATTTTATAACAAGAATATTGATAGTAAAACCAGAGTTACCGCTATGACCTAACAGATGAGTAAGTTAATATGGCAATGGGCTGGCAATATAACTCGAAGAATGGACAACCAATAGGGAAGAAAGTTTCTTGAGTGGCAACCTATAATAATAATAATAATAATAATAATAATTTATTGGACTCTCAGTTTGACAAATTACACTGATGTATTATATCTATTTTAAATTACAAAATAACATTTCAAATAAGTTAGCGTTAACGGCCATACTAGTATAAACTGTGTTACAGCCGTCAGCGTCTTCCACCCTAAGTAGTACAAAAATAATTTCATTTCGCTATACAATACACAGACATGTTAAAATAAATATGGAAAATAAAGAGATTTTTTTTTCTAATTACCACAAACCTCTGTGTGTGTGTGTGTGTGTGTGTGTGTGTGTGTGTGTGTGTGTGTGTGTGTGTGTGTGTGTGTGTGTGTGTGTGTGTGTGTGCGTGCGTGTGTGTGTGTGTGCGCGTGCGTTAGTATTTAAAAATTCATTAACCTCTCTGTTTCCATGTAATTAAGATTTAGCAACCAGTATAGAATTTTGTCCTTGCATTTATAAAGGGACATAGGGTAAATATAGCTTATTTTATTTGCTACATTATATAAATGACTGCTTATGACATAATATTGTCGCCGGGCTAGAGCAGTTCTATGAAAAGTCATTTTACAAATTCTATTTTTGTTACGTTTTAAATTAGGTATAAAATCTGTATTTTTGTGCTTACGTAGTATAACAGACATGACAAATAGTTGTCTTACAGTAAGTACAGAACATTCCTTATAAATAAGTTCAGTGCTATATCTTAGTGATTTACCCAGCATAACCTTTAATATTGCTCTCTGTGCACGTTCTAAGGGGAGTAGAGTTGTCTTTCCAATTCCACCCCAGGTTAAAATGCAATATTGTAGTAAACTCTGAGCAAGGGCATAATAAACACATAGCAAGGTTTCAAAATCAGCTGAGTTCCTCAATTTTCTTAAAATTGGTATTAATTTTCTAATACGGCAGGTTAAGTTGCTAATATGCGCTGACCAAGATAGGCAGTAGTCTATGATAAGTCCGAGGTATCTTATATGAGTGGAACGACTTAGTATTGGGCAGTTACATTTGCTTTGTTGTTCACATGTATGTGCTTTGAGATGAAATTCCGCTGATGGTTGGGTACTAACACGGTGAGTGAAGGTAATATATCTCGTTTTCTTTACATTTAGTGTCAGTAGGTTACTACTAAGCCACCACATGACCTTACCAAGCGCAAACTCTGTATGAAATTGGGCGTCTTTCCACTCTTTACCGTGTACAATTAAAGCAGTATCGTCGGCATACGAAATTATTTTGCAGTTAGGCAGCGTAATTTTGCATAAACTATTCACGTAAACGAGAAAGAGAGTTGGGCCCAGTACGCTGCCTTGTGGGACTCCAAACGATACAGTTGCAGGTAAACTAGTGTAATCACCGATTTTAACTAACTGCGTTCGATTAGATAAATAAGACCGAAATATATCTAAAGCAATTCCCCGTACGCCGATCATTTCCATCTTATGAAGAAGTAGGGGAACAGAGACAGTGTCGAAAGCCTTTGACAAATCAAGAAAGACACCTATTACTTTTGACTTATTATCAAGATGTTTTGCAATCGTCTCAGTTAGGATTAAAGTTGCGTCTTCAGTAGACTTGCCTTTCACAAAGCCAAATTGGTTATCCGAAATAATATTATTATGTTTAAGAAAATTTGTGAGTCTAAAATTTAAAACTTTTTCAAGTATTTTAGAAACCTATGTCACCAACTCTAGAATTGGCAGGCTCGATACTAATATTTACTGGTTCGGTACCAATAGTTAAAAATTAATTGAGTTGTAAAACAATCATATGCTTTGTAAATTATTAAGATATACCTACCTTCATAAAAACAGATTTAAATTTGAATATTTTGCCTGACAAGTCAGTGAAAAAACGCAAAAGGGCGATTATGTATGTTAGTATCTTTCTAGAGCTCAATATGTATGTCACATACTAACTTATTTGGTATTACAGGCGAGCAGGTGTATACACCGCAGAAGAAGCAGTGAGCGAGGCCAAAACGGTTTTGAAGTCCCTGCAATCAGCCTATATAAGGCAAATGGGACATTTAAGAATGCTACTCCAGTCTTCTAGACACCAGTACTTGAAATCCTTAAAGGCTGAAAAAGAACAGTATTGTAAGTACTGACAATTTTTTCATTATATTATTGTAAATGATTATTTTTCAAAAAAATAAAATAAGTCCCACCGAGTTTCTTGCTGGTTCTTTCTAGCACAGAGTTTTTTTTACCACACCGGTGGTATAAACATAAATGACTTTCAATAAGTATTAAGGGGTTTTTCAATATGGATGCTTGAACTTTGACAGCGTATAGCGGCCCTCTTGGTAAATCGAATACTTATTTAGTCTTGACATTTCACCTTTTGACGCTACACGCTTCAACAACGCATTGAAATTGTTAAAATTAATTATCAAAATCAGTGCTCTGTTCACCTAACGCGTTTGAACGGAACGCGTTGCGTCCAATTTATGGCATTCATGGCCGTCCTGCAGAGTACACAATACGTTGTTTAATGAATAAATTTGAGACAACCGTGTCTGTGATTGATGAAGCAGGAGAATATTGTTGTCGTTCGGGATAGAGTGCGCGAAAACCCCAGACAGTCCATTCCGCGGTCTGGGTCTTTCTGCAACATCAAGTTGGCGGATTTTGCGTCGGGACTTGGGTTCATTTTCAGTGATGAGGCTCATTTCTGGTTGAGTGACTTTGTTAACAAACAAAATTGCCGGATTTAGAGCGACGAAAGTCCACGGGAGATTCGTTAGGTGCCTGTAGTCTCTACTACACTCCGAAAAAGTCACGGTTTGGCGTTTCTTTCTTGAGGATAGATGTAGATGTCTTCTTTATTGAAGATAGATGTAGATGTCTATGAGTCACAGCAACCACTTGCCATCAGATGACTGTATGCTCGTTTGTTGCCCTCAAGCAAGATATATACCAATTAACATTTTGTTTGACTGAGGCGTAGACCGACGTATGGGTACTGTAAAGTTAAGTCTGTTCTTCAATCGAACTACCTGTTACATGCTTATCTTACCAGAAATTTATGAATTTCAGTAAGTTAATGATTTAGGTGAAAATAGGTTTGTACTTACCATAACTGCTACTGCCTTTATACATACCTCTTGTATAGAAATGAATATTTCCTTTGTTAATTTACGGCATACGTGTATCGGACTATTTTTGCGACAATCCTTGGAGCTTAATGGAGTAAGTTCAGTATTTGACTTCTGAAGGGCTATAATGAGGATCAGTATCGAAAACAGGTCAAAATTGAAACTTGATTTAAGTTTATACAGGATTTTCAAGGCGCGAGTCCTACATGCACTTGTCCGGTTTTTATTACTAATACTCTATGTAATGTATTTGCGAAAGTTTTCCATAAATACCAATATCGGTTTGTATTTTGCAGGCAGTATTAACACACAAGCTCGAAGCGGCCCGCTGACAGTACGCGAGAGAAGACAGCTTCGTAAGTTAAAGGCTTATGCTGGCTACCACAGGAAACATGGTGTCGACGCGGTGCTAGCAAGGAAGTTATATCACAAACGAGCTAAGGTATAATACAACATTTTTAAATAGTGGAGCAATGGTGCAGCTATCCTGTAGCACAAATGTGTTAGCTGGACTGGAGAAGATCACCTTGGTGGTCCTTCCCCGGTCGAGCCGACCCATTCGTGCTACAACTATACTACTAATATAGCTGCAGCATGGCTCTACCACGTATAGACTTCATAAATTTCTGGTAAGATACGCTTCAAACAGATAGTTCAGATTGAAGGACATACTTAACTTTGCAATTCCCATACATCGGTCTACGCTTCAGTCAAACAAAATGTTAATTTGTAGAGGGGATAACTGCCCAGATGGAAAAGTTCCAAAGAAAAAAGAAAAAAAGTAATTTTACCACGTTGTAATATGACTTAATAATGGCGGATAAAATTACTATGTATAATACATTACATTATTTTAAATCAATGTTACAGGTGAATGACACATCATCACACCGTCATATACCGTCGCAAGGGCGATGCACATTCACAGAGGGAGGGGTGCGCTGCTCTAACCATGTATTGCCTGCAGCTAAGCATTGCCTCAAACACATCTTACATGACAGGCATCAAGTAAGTGCTTTTGTTCTCGAGTAATAAGATAATTATTATCTTGTACAAGTAAATAATTATTAAAGAAAACAATAGCTCAGACTGCAGTAATCTGTAATTATACTCAACCAAATCTGAGAAATACGTTTTGACAGCTGTCAGACTTACTGGACTAGGCGTGCCAACCAAAAAATCGATACGTACTATATTCGATTCTTTACAAAAATTGATATCAATTCCTTAGAGTTGGTAATCATTTACAGTTTTGTTTCAATTAATACTTGATATATTTAATATAATATAATCTTGAATAATTTAAAACACAAGATTTATCAGTTTCTTCGTATTTATTATTGCTGCTTATATCTAGAGGCAAAATTGTATAAATTTAAAATTTGAATTTAGATTAAAAATAAATATAGTCACGTTCACTACAACTAGTTGAGCTGTCGTTGTTTAGATTAATTATTATTGAATTTATATTATATTTATTTAAATATATTATATTTATTCAGATCAATAATGTATCAAAATTAATGTTCTTTCAAAGTCATCCATAATAATTTTCTTTGTTTTCTCCACCACTTTTGCCCAATTATTCTTGGTGACATGGGTATATGCTTCATTCAGCAAACCTTCTATTTTCTCTTATCGGACGGTACGTATTTGGCAGATAGGGGCTAGGCGAGAAAAAGTATTTTTCCGTCACCGCCCCTTCTGACATAGTGTAGACCCCTCTCATGCTTTTTCTTTTTTTGTCATGAAAGAAATATTATTTTATTATAAATGACGCTTCATTTTAATACATGTTTGTTAATCAATAATATAATATGTTTATAAATAGTAAAATACTACGAAAAGGACTTCGTTCCAACCGAGTGTTCCACGACACTCACGCATGTTTTTTTATCGTGTGTTTTTATGTACATCATAACTTTTATCTGGGTGAACCGATTTCGATGATTCTTTTTTTATTTGAAAGCTGGTGTTTCTCATGTAGTCCCATTTAAATTTGATCAAGGTATGACTAATATAATTTGACGGTTCCGTGGCGCAGTGGCTTAGCAATGAGTTATTACGATGGGGGCCGCGGGTTCGAATTCCGCATGGAACATGTTTGGAGGTTTGGATGTTTATCCTCATGCAATTTGTGTTTGTAAACTGCCTCCACGATACAGGAGAAAATCCTAGGGGGTAAAGTTTTTTAAGCGTACAACGGCAATAGTTTTTGAGTTATTCTTAATAATTTAAGAATTTGAATTTATTATTTTGCATCCATTTCCTCATCGTGTTCTTTTGTACTCTTCGATTGGAAAGCTAATAAACAATTTTCTGCAAATCATCCTCCAGCGGATCCCGCATCACCTTTTAGGGTATCTTTGAACAAAATGCTGTAGTGTCATCGTTTCATCAACGAATATGACGTCCCAATTGGTTATATTTTTCATTTCTCTTCAAAAATGTTATATTATTAATGAGGCTATGTCATGCCTCTCCATAACAATTTTGCGTTTATCTTTTTTTTTATATCGGAAGTGCATGCGTTTTAAAATGGTTCTCAAAGACTGCCATTATATAAACCGCCATCTACTAAACTTTCTTGTAACTAAGCCGCAGTAGGATATCTTCTATTCTTATTAAGATAATATCATAAATAGTAATATGAGATATTATTGTTTATGATATCAATAAAAAATTCTACTTAAGACTTGGCTGTATGGGCCTAGTTCCCTTTGCCTACCCAGAATGGGTGATGAAAACAAAAAAAATCTTTGCTTATATTCTTTTATGGTTGGCGCCATTTTCCAAAAATGTTGTTTAATAAATTGCTTAATTTTTTTTTTATTTAACTGTATTAAAAATAGTTGTTCAGTACACGCGCGGAACCGTCATTGCAACTTGTTCCGACTGTCAACCCTCACCGGCTGCGATTCGGCTCTGGTAGACATTTGTCCGGAACTGTATGCAATGACAGGCTTTCCGCACTCGTAATGAAAAATATACTATACTAGCTGTGCCCCGCAGTTTCACCCGCGTCATCACGTGTCGGAGGTGCGCGACATGACATAGCTCAAGCATTTTGTAATTGCAATTAAATATGTTATTTGATAGCAATGGATGGAAAAATTGGCATAATGGAGTACTTTTATGTCGGCATATTATGTATGATGTAGAGCGAAGTTAAGTTTTATCCACTTTCCCTCCCCCCTCCCGGTTGAGCAGTTCATACAGTTCTCATCGGGCGGCTAGGATTAATGTGTCGTTCGCGCGCCCAGCCAAGTATTGAATTATTTTAATTTTACATTATCTCTTAAACTATGCGTCCAAATAACATGGTATAAGGAACAAAGTTTATCTTCATAAAATTGTCTTGATGACGAAGTAACTTTCGTTGTAAGGATAAATAGACCATGCCTAATAATAACGCTCATAAATCACTTTTAAATTTTCAATATTTTTTTGTCACAAAATACCTAATTATGGCTTATGTATAAGAAATAGACATATGGTATCGCGGACTTTTTTTAGACGGAGTAAAGATCTATATTTTTCTAGAACATTGTATTTACGTATCCCTAACAATAACACCAGCGTACGCGGATAAATCATTTCGGGAGTGCCTTTTCTTCTGACTTGCTTAACAAATATCTATATTTAAGGCTATCTGAGTGATATAGCTTAATGCTAGATAGCCTATACTATTCCAAATGATAATATACAAAAAAAAAAATTCAAATCGGACTGGTAGTTCCAGAGATTAGCGCGTTTAAACAAATAAAAAAACAAAAAACTCTTCCGCTTTATTATATTAATATAAGTATAAGTATAGATTAGTTAAGTATGGATAGTGGAGAAATGTGTATTAAAATTGAATTGCCTGTCTGTACCAGAAGCCGAAATTTTATAGCGAGTGTAATGAGTTTGTTTGCGGTGCGCGCAGGTGCTGTTCGCGGCGTGCGGGGACCCGCGCGGCTGCGCGTCGTGCGGCGAGCCCGTGGCGCGCCTGCCGCTGCCGCACTCGTGCCGCTACCACGCCGCGCCGCCGCCCTACGCAGTGTTCACGCTCAAGGTACGTGCGCAGTGCACGCGCCGCTGCCGCACTCGTGCCGCTACCACGCCGCGCCGCCGCCCTACGCAGTGTTCACGCTCAAGGTACGTGCGCAGTGCACGCGCCGCTGCCGCACTCGTGCCGCTACCACGCCGCGCCGCCGCCCTACGCAGTGTTCACGCTCAAGGTACGTGCGCAGTGCACGCGCCGCTGCCGCACTCGTGCCGCTACCACGCCGCGCCGCCGCCCTACGCAGTGTTCACGCTCAAGGTACGTGCGCAGTGCACGCGCCGCTGCCGCACTCGTGCCGCTACCACGCCGCGCCGCCGCCCTACGCAGTGTTCACGCTCAAGGTACGTGCGCAGTGCACGCGCCGCTGCCGCACTCGTGCCGCTACCACGCCGCGCCGCCGCCCTACGCAGTGTTCACGCTCAAGGTACGTGCGCAGTGCACGCGCCGCTGCCGCACTCGTGCCGCTACCACGCCGCGCCGCCGCCCTACGCAGTGTTCACGCTCAAGGTACGTGCGCAGTGCACGCGCCGCTGCCGCACTCGTGCCGCTACCACGCCGCGCCGCCGCCCTACGCAGTGTTCACGCTCAAGGTACGTGCGCAGTGCACGCGCCGCTGCCGCACTCGTGCCGCTACCACGCCGCGCCGCCGCCCTACGCAGTGTTCACGCTCAAGGTACGTGCGCAGTGCACGCGCCGCTGCCGCACTCGTGCCGCTACCACGCCGCGCCGCCGCCCTACGCAGTGTTCACGCTCAAGGTACGTGCGCAGTGCACGCGCCGCTGCCGCACTCGTGCCGCTACCACGCCGCGCCGCCGCCCTACGCAGTGTTCACGCTCAAGGTACGTGCGCAGTGCACGCGCCGCTGCCGCACTCGTGCCGCTACCACGCCGCGCCGCCGCCCTACGCAGTGTTCACGCTCAAGGTACGTGCGCAGTGCACGCGCCGCTGCCGCACTCGTGCCGCTACCACGCCGCGCCGCCGCCCTACGCAGTGTTCACGCTCAAGGTACGTGCGCAGTGCACGCGCCGCTGCCGCACTCGTGCCGCTACCACGCCGCGCCGCCGCCCTACGCAGTGTTCATGCTCAAGGTACGTGCGCAGTGCACGCGCCGCTGCCGCACTCGTGCCGCTACCACGCCGCGCCGCCGCCCTACGCAGTGTTCACGCTCAAGGTACGTGCGCAGTGCACGCGCCGCTGCCGCACTCGTGCCGCTACCACGCCGCGCCGCCGCCCTACGCAGTGTTCACGCTCAAGGTACGTGCGCAGTGCACGCGCCGCTGCCGCACTCGTGCCGCTACCACGCCGCGCCGCCGCCCTACGCAGTGTTCACGCTCAAGGTACGTGCGCAGTGCACGCGCCGCTGCCGCACTCGTGCCGCTACCACGCCGCGCCGCCGCCCTACGCAGTGTTCACGCTCAAGGTACGTGCGCAGTGCACGCGCCGCTGCCGCACTCGTGCCGCTACCACGCCGCGCCGCCGCCCTACGCAGTGTTCACGCTCAAGGTACGTGCGCAGTGCACGCGCCGCTGCCGCACTCGTGCCGCTACCACGCCGCGCCGCCGCCCTACGCAGTGTTCACGCTCAAGGTACGTGCGCAGTGCACGCGCCGCTGCCGCACTCGTGCCGCTACCACGCCGCGCCGCCGCCCTACGCAGTGTTCACGCTCAAGGTACGTGCGCAGTGCACGCGCCGCTGCCGCACTCGTGCCGCTACCACGCCGCGCCGCCGCCCTACGCAGTGTTCACGCTCAAGGTACGTGCGCAGTGCACGCGCCGCTGCCGCACTCGTGCCGCTACCACGCCGCGCCGCCGCCCTACGCAGTGTTCACGCTCAAGGTACGTGCGCAGTGCACGCGCCGCTGCCGCACTCGTGCCGCTACCACGCCGCGCCGCCGCCCTACGCAGTGTTCACGCTCAAGGTACGTGCGCAGTGCACGCGCCGCTGCCGCACTCGTGCCGCTACCACGCCGCGCCGCCGCCCTACGCAGTGTTCACGCTCAAGGTACGTGCGCAGTGCACGCGCCGCACTCGTGCCGCTACCACGCCGCGCCGCCGCCCTACGCAGTGTTCACGCTCAAGGTACGTGCGCAGTGCACGCGCCGCTGCCGCACTCGTGCCGCTACCACGCCGCGCCGCCGCCCTACGCAGTGTTCACGCTCAAGGTACGTGCGCAGTGCACGCGCCGCTGCCGCACTCGTGCCGCTACCACGCCGCGCCGCCGCCCTACGCAGTGTTCACGCTCAAGGTACGTGCGCAGTGCACGCGCCGCTGCCGCACTCGTGCCGCTACCACGCCGCGCCGCCGCCCTACGCAGTGTTCACGCTCAAGGTACGTGCGCAGTGCACGCGCCGCTGCCGCACTCGTGCCGCTACCACGCCGCGCCGCCGCCCTACGCAGTGTTCACGCTCAAGGTACGTGCGCAGTGCACGCGCCGCTGCCGCACTCGTGCCGCTACCACGCCGCGCCGCCGCCCTACGCAGTGTTCACGCTCAAGGTACGTGCGCAGTGCACGCGCCGCACTCGTGCCGCTACCACGCCGCGCCGCCGCCCTACGCAGTGTTCACGCTCAAGGTACGTGCGCAGTGCACGCGCCGCTGCCGCACTCGTGCCGCTACCACGCCGCGCCGCCGCCCTACGCAGTGTTCACGCTCAAGGTACGTGCGCAGTGCACGCGCCGCTGCCGCACTCGTGCCGCTACCACGCCGCGCCGCCGCCCTACGCAGTGTTCACGCTCAAGGTACGTGCGCAGTGCACGCGCCGCTGCCGCACTCGTGCCGCTACCACGCCGCGCCGCCGCCCTACGCAGTGTTCATGCTCAAGGTACGTGCGCAGTGCACGCGCCGCTGCCGCACTCGTGCCGCTACCACGCCGCGCCGCCGCCCTACGCAGTGTTCACGCTCAAGGTACGTGCGCAGTGCACGCGCCGCACTCGTGCCGCTACCACGCCGCGCCGCCGCCCTACGCAGTGTTCACGCTCAAGGTACGTGCGCAGTGCACGCGCCGCTGCCGCACTCGTGCCGCTACCACGCCGCGCCGCCGCCCTACGCAGTGTTCACGCTCAAGGTACGTGCGCAGTGCACGCGCCGCTGCCGCACTCGTGCCGCTACCACGCCGCGCCGCCGCCCTACGCAGTGTTCACGCTCAAGGTACGTGCGCAGTGCACGCGCCGCTGCCGCACTCGTGCCGCTACCACGCCGCGCCGCCGCCCTACGCAGTGTTCATGCTCAAGGTACGTGCGCAGTGCACGCGCCGCTGCCGCACTCGTGCCGCTACCACGCCGCGCCGCCGCCCTACGCAGTGTTCACGCTCAAGGTACGTGCGCAGTGCACGCGCCGCTGCCGCACTCGTGCCGCTACCACGCCGCGCCGCCGCCCTACGCAGTGTTCACGCTCAAGGTACGTGCGCAGTGCACGCGCCGCTGCCGCACTCGTGCCGCTACCACGCCGCGCCGCCGCCCTACGCAGTGTTCACGCTCAAGGTACGTGCGCAGTGCACGCGCCGCTGCCGCACTCGTGCCGCTACCACGCCGCGCCGCCGCCCTACGCAGTGTTCACGCTCAAGGTACGTGCGCAGTGCACGCGCCGCTGCCGCACTCGTGCCGCTACCACGCCGCGCCGCCGCCCTACGCAGTGTTCACGCTCAAGGTACGTGCGCAGTGCACGCGCCGCTGCCGCACTCGTGCCGCTACCACGCCGCGCCGCCGCCCTACGCAGTGTTCACGCTCAAGGTACGTGCGCAGTGCACGCGCCGCTGCCGCACTCGTGCCGCTACCACGCCGCGCCGCCGCCCTACGCAGTGTTCACGCTTAAGGTACGTGCGCAGTGCACGCGCCGCTGCCGCACTCGTGCCGCTACCACGCCGCGCCGCCGCCCTACGCAGTGTTCACGCTCAAGGTACGTGCGCAGTGCACGCGCCGCTGCCGCACTCGTGCCGCTACCACGCCGCGCCGCCGCCCTACGCAGTGTTCACGCTCAAGGTACGTGCGCAGTGCACGCGCCGCTGCCGCACTCGTGCCGCTACCACGCCGCGCCGCCGCCCTACGCAGTGTTCACGCTCAAGGTACGTGCGCAGTGCACGCGCCGCTGCCGCACTCGTGCCGCTACCACGCCGCGCCGCCGCCCTACGCAGTGTTCACGCTCAAGGTACGTGCGCAGTGCACGCGCCGCTGCCGCACTCGTGCCGCTACCACGCCGCGCCGCCGCCCTACGCAGTGTTCACGCTCAAGGTACGTGCGCAGTGCACGCGCCGCTGCCGCACTCGTGCCGCTACCACGCCGCGCCGCCGCCCTACGCAGTGTTCACGCTCAAGGTACGTGCGCAGTGCACGCGCCGCTGCCGCACTCGTGCCGCTACCACGCCGCGCCGCCGCCCTACGCAGTGTTCACGCTCAAGGTACGTGCGCAGTGCACGCGCCGCACTCGTGCCGCTACCACGCCGCGCCGCCGCCCTACGCAGTGTTCACGCTCAAGGTACGTGCGCAGTGCACGCGCCGCTGCCGCACTCGTGCCGCTACCACGCCGCGCCGCCGCCCTACGCAGTGTTCACGCTCAAGGTACGTGCGCAGTGCACGCGCCGCTGCCGCACTCGTGCCGCTACCACGCCGCGCCGCCGCCCTACGCAGTGTTCACGCTCAAGGTACGTGCGCAGTGCACGCGCCGCTGCCGCACTCGTGCCGCTACCACGCCGCGCCGCCGCCCTACGCAGTGTTCACGCTCAAGGTACGTGCGCAGTGCACGCGCCGCTGCCGCACTCGTGCCGCTACCACGCCGCGCCGCCGCCCTACGCAGTGTTCACGCTCAAGGTACGTGCGCAGTGCACGCGCCGCTGCCGCACTCGTGCCGCTACCACGCCGCGCCGCCGCCCTACGCAGTGTTCACGCTCAAGGTACGTGCGCAGTGCACGCGCCGCACTCGTGCCGCTACCACGTATTCATCCTTGAGAATAAACATCAAAATACAAATGCATTGCCACTCCTGAGAACTAAGCTGAAATGCCTTGTTTACAGTAAAAAGGGTTCTCTACACTCCCTTACGAAACACAGCAGCATTAAGCTGCTGTTTTACGCTGGTACTTTTTGAAAGCCTGGTCCTAGTCCCGAGTTGAGCCGCCCCATTCGTGCTATAACTATATTTTAGTTGCAGCGTTGCTCTACCACGTATAAGAAAAGGCCCGGCAGTAGGATTTATATAGGCTATAAATTTATTTTTTAATTTATCTCTATTACAGAAAGACGAATCGGACAGCAACTCCGAATCTCATTCAAGTTCCGATGCCTCCCAGTCAGATGATGATCAGTACTTGGAAGACAAGACGGAGATTGCAGTAGACAATTTATCGATGGACCCACTACAGTATGAATGACAAATGGACTTCAGTCATATCATGTATGACGACTTGTGGAGCTGATGCGAGTTATATTATTTATCATTAATCAGTGAGTGATGTTCCAAAGATTACAGTTTAATAAGTGAAAAGTATTAAAGATAATATTGTATTAAAAGTAGCCATTTACGTTATTTTGTGCATAAACTGTATTACATTAAAAATGTTGTAAATGAGTGTATCCTGTAGTGGACATTTACATATACGACAGGTTTGTGTATGTATCAATTTAAGAATTCGGTATGTAAATTATTTTAAGATTTCATTCTTATACTTTTGCTTTATATATAATTATAAGGATTTCATAAACACCAATTTTAATTACTTTTCTTATATAAGCAGTAGTTAATTTTTAATCGCATTTCATAGTTTTACTAAAGATGGCATCATAGAATAGGCTGAAAAATCAACCTTTTTCAGGTATAAAAAGTAATTATCATCATCATCATCATTACATCCTTCACAAGTACACTGCTGATTATAGGCCTCCCACAAGGAATGCCACAAAGCACGGTCTTGAGCCACCTGCATCCATCGACTTCCTGCATGTCTTAATAGGTCGTCACTCCATCTAGTGGGGGGTCGCCCTACACTTCGCCTACCGGTGTAAGCCTTCCACTCAAGAACCTATTTTCCCCATCGGTTGCTGCTTCCTCAAGCTATATGGCCGGCCAATTGCTACTTCAGCTTACTAATCCGTCGAGCTATATCGATCACTTTCGTTCTACTGTGGATATCCTCATTTCTAAGTTTATAACACAGAGAAACCTCGAGCATAGCCCTCTCCATAGCTTGCTGAGCGACCTTGAGCGTCCTCAGGCCAGTAGTGGAGCACCACGTCTCTGTTCCATAAGTCATCACTGGCAACACGCACTGGTTTTACAGTGTCTAAAAAGTAATAATAACTCATAAATTGACATTTACAATAGATGATATGTTTATAGTTGTTCACATCTCAGAGTAATTACTAGCATAGAGGGATTCTTAAAATAGAAACAAAATTTTTGTAGTTGAATTCTTTATGCACATTCTGACATTTTGCATGGTACAAAATAAGACAGTTTACAATTCTCAACTTCTTATAAAAGGTTGTTACCTTTATTTAATTCCATAGATACAGCAATGCTGCCCCCGATAATAATAAAGACGTATCTAACAAAAAGTAAATACGGAGAAAAATATTTTAAGTTGAAAAACGGGAAAACCCATGCTGTGATTTAGTTATTGCATTTATCAAATTCTGTGAATGTGCAATTTTTCGGCCCATATCTCCTCTCAATTTAGTATTATAAACATTTCAGTATTGATAATAAAAAATCGTCTAGTTCCAAAAGCCACCAAGTTTTGCTTATTTTCCACTAACTAGTAAAAAGTTCTCGTTGTCGATAAATGTTATCTTTTTTGGATGATATGAACCCACAGAATATGGCAACACTTTAAAATCCCTTTTCAGCAACAAATTAGTTAAATAAACAAAAATATGGAGGTATTTTCTTTTATTTTAGCAGCCTATGAAACCTTGAAATAAGAGGAATTTGATAGTAACATGTTACTTTTTAGTGGGTTTTGCAACTGATAAAATCTTAACAAAGGCTACAAGATATTAACAACCACCATGATCAACCAAAGTAAGAAAGTAGGTAAATGTAGCATTCATTAAATCTCATTAAAATCCGGAATTAAGTCATTTCTTTTGATTGATAATATAAAAATGATAAATCTGTTATAGGCATGAAGTTTTATAAATGTTTTATTGTGTTTTTATAATTTAATTTACGTAGCTATTAAAAATATAATTAAAATGAAAGAATTTAACCCTTCGTTGCGCGAATTTTTATTTCAAAAAGAATTAAATATTTTCGGATTTGAAATAGCTTAAACAGTACCAGAAAAATATTTGAAAAAATCACATTGTTATATATTATGATATTTTTACAAAAAACATGTTGTTGTTTTAAAACAACATTGCGCATTATCCAAGGTTTTGAAGTATATATAGTGTATAATGAAATATATTTTTTACTTTAACTAATTTATTTGAATATAAAAATTAATTATTATGGTATTTATCGAAACAATTATTATTTTTTTGTGTCACACAAAGAAACACCACATTTTTGACAAAATTTGAAGATCCACCACATTTCGGAAATTTGCACCGTTGCTGTTTGTCTACCCACACGGACGTATTGGTTGCGTAGCTCTTTTACGCCTTTTCTTTATGAATTTATTATTATTTAATGAATTGCTTGATCGCCCTCGCTTGGTACCGTTAGTCTGCAACCCCATGCGACAAAGTTTCACCCAATTCCATCCTGTATCTGGACAAATTTAACACTTGTGTCCTTTGTATGGACTTTTTTTATAAATAAGCCAAGAGTTTATTACTGTTACGTCTAACAAATGACAAAAGGAGTGCGTTATATTCTTTGATTACTTTTGGACAAGAGAGCGGCGGAACTCGTTATTTTTTCACTTTATCATAACATGTTACAGTTGTAGCTGGTTCAGCACCAACGCAGGTGGAAAGGATATTCACAGGTTTATTGTCTTTCCATACTACAGCACTGACATCAACGCCCTCCACATTCGCCACATTTTCTTCGTAATATCCTCTTGGGATGCTTTTTTTCATGATAGCCTTTTTGTGTGGTAGCTTGAAATTGCGTAGACGGTTGGCACGCACTGTCCCAAATGAATAAATGCCGTCCTTAGCTAAGAAAGTCACAAGCGGTAGAGAAGTATAAAAATTATCATATAGACTATATGGTTTGCTTTGCGGGGTATCATGCGAGCTAGACGTACAACATTCCCTGACTCTCCTAAATTAGGCTCATTAGCTGCCACTGCCCTGTGTAAATTTCAAATTTATGAGCGTAGCCATAAAGGCAGCAAAGCAGGTTTGAAGCCTCATTGTGCGGCTTATTGGGTAAATATTGCTTTATATGGTGGCTTATTTTCGTGGCGCACATCTGTTCATCAATCGACAAACGTTGCTCAATTGGTACAGTAGCAAACCTATTATTTAGTGCATCAACAAGGGGTCTTATAAGATAGATTCGGTCATGGTCACGATGTTCTTTTGACAAACTTTTCTCTTTGTCGTTGAAATGTATAATGGACCTTATCTTCTCAAATCACTTCTGAGACATCGTCGTTTTTATAAGCTCATATCCATACTTGTCATGCCAGTAAAGTCTAATATTAGGAAAACGAATTACAGAAGAAACAATCAAAATTCCAAAAAAACTTATTCAATTCATTCTCGTCTATGTTGACTGGGTTAGAAACTTGCTTCTGCGTGGCATACAAGTTACTTTGCTCAACTGTATGTTCTATCAAATCTGGCGTGAAGAAATAGGTAAAAGAATCTAAAGGAGTTTACCTTTATGTAAGTTCTTCTGGCAACCCCGAAATATTCTTATAAATATATAAATATATGAGTCATCTAATATCAAAGGCGGCAATATCCATTTCGTTGAATTTTGTGTAAAGTGATAAAAACGTATTTTGTGAAATTTATTTATCCCTTAACTTAGATATTTTTTAAATATGGGATGTACAATGAGAATAATCATTTTACTCTGTTTTATTAAACATATATTGCCTTTTTAAAGCAGAATTGACAAATAACCGTTGGAGATTGCCGACTTTGAAAGTTTCGAATATTGCCGTATTTGTTTTAGACAGGCATGGAGATAGCCATGTTTGTTACTGATGATCACCATAATGTATCTGGTATTTACCTGGTTATTACCACAATCTTGATATTTGAAGTAAAAATTTAAAATAATAGCCGTAGTAATAATCAAACTCTTTTTTATTACTTATCAATCAGTTACTGGTTTTTATAAAAATATAATATACTGAATGGCACTTTACGTAAAACTTCAACAAAATAAACAATCATGCAATTAAAAAAAACAAGTATTATTATCCTTAGGTAAACTTCAGAAAATCAAGTACTCTTAAACTATAGACATCTTTCCTCGACTTGCAATTCACAAGTAACTTCTTGTGATGCATCTTCCTCTTTTTCTAGGCTTGATGTTTGTGATAAAATACTTCTATAAAAATCAAATCCCTCCTCATTTTCCCATTCATTTCCAAAATGAGTGTGTTACGGCCTACGGCTGCTCCCTTAAAAGGTCCAATCCTCTGGGGCCCATGAGCAGAAGACTTCCCGAGCAGACGTAGGTCGGGCCTCAATGTGGCCACGTGGAAATTCCTAATTACAATAAACCAGATGGGAGGACGCTAGAAAGACATAGTACTTACCATTATCCGAAGCTAACTTCGCACCAAGGCTTGGGCAGGCCGTGAGTGTGTGTAATAGTGGATGGAGAGTAGTGTACAGTGAGGGGTGAATGTGTGGGGCCTTGTCAAGCATGGGCGACCAGCCGCTGTCGAGTTCCAGGCTGCTCCAAAATGCTGCAACACTGCTTCAGACTGCTTCGGTAACACCGAAGCAGTCTGAAGCAGCAGCAGCACCGACCACAGTCACTTTCCTCGTTCGTCACGATGACAGTCAATTAACTTTATCGTACGATTTACTAACTTACAGAAGCCACTAACTATCGCGGGTTATAAGTTTAACGCACAAAACGCACACGGAGGTTATAGTTTATTAAAGGTCGCTACCGTTTCGCGTCGCAACAGTTAGTTCTAGAATATCAGAGGCCGCACTAGCTAATATTGCCTAATGCACTTATGCAGATTCTGAGTCAAACACAATGAGTCCCTGGGAAGCTCTCCAGCAGGAATGCGCGTCACAATGATAGACCGTATATTTACTGGCCGCGCCGAATTATTCCGAGTTCCCGACAAAATGACAGAGTGCCAATCGTGAGCACTGCCTAACCTGACTGCCTGCCCTTGTGCGTTTTTCGCACGACCGAAAGTCAAACCGGTATGAATGCACCGCGCCGAGCGCCCTCTCGCGTCAATCCTTGAAACTAGCGCTTGGCGCGAACAGAGTG